GCCAGGCTGGGACACAGCCATCAGACCCTTATTAGCCTACAGGAGCAGGGAGGTCACAGGTGGTCTTTATGTGTCTCCCTTTTGCTACTGAGGTATGGTCTGAGATCCTGTCAGTACCTCAGACCACACTGTAGCAAGACCACCTGGGGATACCACCACAGGTCAACAGCTTCTTGATGTGGTCATGGGGACAACCATTCAGGAGTGACCAGGAAGAGGCATCTGGCCAAGAAAACACATTAGCTTACACTCAGAAAATAACAGTCGTGTTTTTTGGAGCTCTTGCCTTAAAACAGAGAAAGCAGAAGCACCATACTCTTTGGGCACTTGCTTTGACTCTTCTCTTCTTGGTTTGTGTAAGGAGAAAAGCTGTTTTGTTTTAAAGCAGTCAGTACTTAGGGGGTGTGTAGTGTTTTGTTTTAAACAAGCTGGGCGTGGACATATACGGGGCAGTAATTTCCCCTGAGTGAAGGGACTTAAGGGAAATGGGCTTTTCAGTATTAATCTGTGTCTGCAGTTGTCTGGCTGCTGTATTTGGAGAGACTGTTAGCATGGATGCTACCCAGATCATTGTTGCTATGGTTTAGTAGATGGCCATTCGGGGTGAAGACCAGCGGGGGTGACCACACTGGTATGGCCTCAGTTGTCCTCACTTGGCAGCTGCAGCCTGTTTGGCTGACACATTCCTGACTGAATGCCCTTTGTCATAGTACACCCTTATTTTCTTTCTGGAAGTGTTCCTCCCTGTATGACCTTAGTCCTTTTGTGATACTGTCTCAGTCAAGTGACTTGTGGTGCAGGGTCTTTAGTTGATAGAATCCATCTGGGGCCCCCGTATCCTTATTTACATATGACTGTGTGCTGAGGTATTACTACTAATGAACATTCGGGCTATGCTATAGTGTGACGGTCAGTGCTCTGCTAGCTATGGCCCTTGGTAGGTCTGAGCTTCCCCAGAGACGTGCCCTCTACAACCCATCCTGCTTTAGTGTCCACAGTCTGTCCGTTCTACCACAGCTGTGTGAAGGGTAGGCGATGTGTATTTCTTTGGCTCAGGAGTGTGCACATAACATTTCTTTTTATCCCAGTTTTTCATTTTAACGCTACACTTCTCAGGGGCTTTGAATTCATCCTTCCTAGAAATAAATTTATCTGCCAGGATCCGGGAAGAAATATTCCTAGCTCAGGAAAAGGCCTAACTCTTTTTCCACCCCTCTGGGTTGGCCTCATTGACCCCTGTCTCTGACTGGTCTGTGACTCTGAGGCTCTGTGACCCCTTAGCTTTTCTGTTCTGCTTCATCCTCTGCTCCGTGAGTTCTCTTCCCTACCTCAGAACGAAGTCTAGTTCTCACCTGTAGCCATCTCCTTTCCTCGGCTGTTTCTGTTTAATCCCTTTACTGCGACTTTAATGGTGTTTCTGAGGGAGAGAGGGCAAACGAGTCTTCATCTGCCTTGCTTGATATAAAGTGTGCACGAATTCTCTAACGATCAACTGAGGCAAGAATAAAACCTCTCTGCCTATAAATGTATCTTGTTTTACAGCATCGGAGGTTCAGCTGTTCATGAAAAGCAATTTAAATAAAAGGGTCATGCTGGAGAACAGTTGTTTATATTCGCTCTAATATTTCTGCTGCTAGTAAAAGTTAGGGGGCATCAGGGACACGCGGGATGAATAAAAGCCTTGCTACCTGCACTGAATTCCCTGCTCTCGCTCTCGAATTCCCAGTGGAGGCTCAATCCTCGGCTTCAGAACTGCACAGGCAGCTGTGTGAATATCTCAGTGCTTGGAGCAAATTGTTGGGTTTAACTTGAACCTCAGTTTCCTGACCTAAAAATGGTAAACATTGTTTTTTTTTCTCCCCAAGTTACTAGTTCTTCGCACATCTTGAATGCATAGATGTGTGCTTAGCTTAGTGGGTGATGAAAAAGTTTTACTTCACTGTATTCCAGATCACCTTTCATATCCAGCATTATTGTTTATGCCTGGGAACCAAATCGGTCTGTTCTGTGTCCCCTCATGGATTTTGCTCCCATTGTAAGAGCCTTGTCTGTTTGTTTGTCTCCTAACCCCGGGGGCATGCTGAGATTGGAATAAGGGGGAGATGGGAAAGGAGGTCATTGAACGGTGATTGAACCTAGATTTGTCCAGCTCTTCTATTAATATATTGATTCCTTTGTGTTGGCAAGCAAGTATTGGAACTTGTAAGCAAGACTTTGAAGGAGGGATTGACCTAGGCTGTGCACGTGATAGATAGGTGAGTGGTCTCCTGGTAAGGTGTGTCCTTGAGCTCTTTTTAGTTTGTGTTTGCAGAGAGCCTCACTAATTTATCCAGGCTGTCCAGGAAGTTCCTCTGTAGCCCGGGTTGGCCTTGAACCTGCTATCCTGGCTTTGCTTCTCCAGTAGTTGAATTGAGATGACTAGACTGCTGCCCCAGGCCCTGATCCATTGCGTATGGGTGTGGCTTAAACTGATGGGTGTGGCTTAAACAGATGGGTGTGGCTTAAACAGATGGGTGTGGCTTAAACAGATGGGGTGGCTTAAACAGATGGGTGTGGCTTAAACAGATGGGGTGGCTTAAACAGATGGGTGTGGCTTAAACAGATGGGGGTGGCTTCTGAAGGTTCTGAGTGACAGAAGGCTCCTTGTGCCCACCTTTCACAGTAACCACTTGCTATGCCTGGAATGTGATCCACATTTTAAGAAAGTGCCGAACTGTTAAGAGAGGATATTTTTGAGGGGATATTGGGTAAGTTCTTTGAAGCCTGGAACTAGGTTGCTGGATTTGCTGCATTGAGCTTTGGTGAGTTCTGGTGAGCAGGGCAGGGTATCTCTCTGGAGCAGTGAGTGGGTAAGGCTGAAGCTGTACCAGCTGCACGTCGTCAGACAGTTGTAATCAGAGACGTGAGAGCAGCGCTCCGATTTGCTGTTGCAGGGAGCTGGGGAAAACCCAAAGCCTGGATAGTTTTCAGCTCTCATGTGCCCAGCTCTGTTTCTTTGTCCTGTTCTGGTCACCTTGCTGTTTCTGTTCTTCTGTCAAATGCTTTTTTAGCCTTTTTGTTTTCCTCTTATGCATCTTGAGTGTGGACACATTAGACATGATCTGGATGCTATTGTATAGACATTAGTCCCCACTTAGACTGTGAACATAGTTCTTCATTTCTGTATTCATTATAATAAAATTCAAAAAAGTCTTTTGATAGAGTTAGATAATTTTTTAAAGCAACCATGTACTTAACTACTAAATTAGTCATTTGTAATCATGTGTTCTAAGGTTTGAAATAGCATCCTTTTCTAAAAAGAAGCTCCTATGATAACACAGCTTGTTTCAGATACAGTGTATTACCGCTGGCTGGAATTGGATTATTTTTCTAGGCATATAGATGCTTTTACAGTAAACCTTTAGATGGCAGCATCTCTCACCATAAGCCATATTTTGAGCAAGCTCTTTCAGACCTAAGAGATGTATAGACAGGAGGTTGTTCAGAGTCTGTCTGTATCACCCTTTCACAGAATGTGAGGATGAAGCGGGAGCACTGGCCTAGACTGGTTAGAGGACGAGCACTGTAGCTTGTCTGGAGCGGTGTCCGCCACCCTTTCTCTGTGACCTTGTGCAAGCTGGTAACAAGGTCAAACAGGTGATTCTGAACCAAAATGCTATTTATATGGTACAAATAGGCATTTTTTGCTTTTCTGTATGTCTAGTCCACAGACCAAGCAATTTACCTGTCCAGATATGTGCAGAACTGTCGGTTTTTAGCATGTGCGCAGATGTGTTATGAATGATTGCTAGAGTCTAATTTTAGAACATCTTGTTACCCTTCAAAGAATTCCATCACTCATTCCCCGAAAAGCTGGCATATCTCTAGCCCTGGCAACCATTCAAACCTTTGGTTTCTGTAGGCTCACCTACACTGGAAATTGCATGTTGAAAGGAGTCATGTAGGATGTGGCTTACCATATTTAAAGCTCACTCATGTTGCAGCATGAATAGGTGCTTCATCTCTTCTCCCTTCCTAAGAGTCCAGTGTATTCTGCTTTATCTGTTGATGGGCCTTTGGTTATAGCAATCATGCTGCTGTGAACACAGTCTGCTAGTTTCTATGTGAACTTATATCTACATGGGTGTAGAACTGCGGGATCACATGATAACTCCGTTGAACAACTGCTAAGCTGTTTTCCAGAGTAACTGCATCTTTGTCTCCAGCAGAAGGGAATAGAAGTTCCATTCAGTCTCATTAATAATTCCAAGAGCTTTCTCTGGAGGGGGAAAAAAATTATAAAGAATCCTAATGGTGTGGTGGTATATACCTATAATCATTCCAGAGGCTGAGGCAGAAGGATGGATGTCAGTTAGGCCTGCATGACTCAAAAATAAAACAAAAATGCCAGATTTTTCTGATAAGTTTTGGTTAGGGGAGGGGAATAAGACTGTCAGTATTCCCAGTTCCCAGATCTGTGCTGGACTATTGGCCACACCCACTTGAGGGCAGCTGCTTCAGCTGCCAAGAAAGCAGCCATGCGTCATCAGCCCGATAAGAGGCCTGCATTCAGTGGCTGCTCATCATGTTGATACTGAGGCCAGCTGTTTGTAATTCACAACTCCTGGCTTGGAGATACCAAGCAACCAAAGCATCTGTATCCCAGGGAGAGGAAAATGGCATCTCAATAGAACAGCAGTCCTTACCACTGTGTAGGTCTGAACATGTCAAAATCACCTATTTGTCACACAGTAAGGACAGCCATGGAAACTGCAGCGGAGGAGAGTAGCTTCGGTTTCAGTCAGAGTTTGCAATCTCCAAACGGAGCTCACCCTGTTCTTCTCTGGCAGACCAGACTGGACATTCTTGTGTCTGCTCTGAACTGACAGCCTGTGTGTTCAAGGGAGGGAAGGGCCAGCCTTTAGGCATGTTTGGGTCCTGGTAAGGACACACACTGTATGTTCTGAAGCTCTGTTTGCATCTGGAAAAAATTAGCTACACTCAGATCTTTCCCTCTGCAGGTCCTGTCAGGAAGCCCAAGTATGTGGAAAGCCCCAGGGTGCCAGGAGATCCAGTTTTGATCCCGTTCAGAGAAGGCTCCAAGCCCTCAGAGCCCAGTGAGACTGGTAAGAGTACCTTTTCCACCATGTCTGCCTCTTTCCCTAAAGACTGTGCATAGTAAGTAGCATTCTCCATTTCTGAAAGAAACCTGAGAGTCTCTTGCAAGAATGCTTCGCTGAACCAAATGTATTTGGGAGGTTTTTCCCCTTGGGCAGTTGACAGAGATTTGTTTAGCTAATGTGAATTCTTGAAATTGTATACAAGTGGCAGGAATAGTTGAGTTGGGTGTATTTGGATTGTTTAAGGGTTAGGTCTTGTGTCCTCTGGATTTTGACCTTGCTGGCTTCAGGAGACATGCAAAGCCAGCCAGTTGACTTTGTTTTTTTGTTTTTGTTTTATATAAACACATTACCCTACCAGAATATTTAAGAGGAGGCTTTGGCTGAGAATCTGAGACTTTCACTAGACAAATTCACTTAAGAGCACATGGTGACTTTGGATTTTTTTTGTTTTTGTTTTTGGTTTTTTGAGACAGGGTTTCTCTGTGTAGCCCTGGCTGTCCTGGAACTCACTCTGTAGACCAGCTGGCCTCGAACTCAGAAATCCACCTGCCTCTGCCTCCCAAGTGCCGGGATTAAAGGCGTGAGCCACCACCACAGGGCGGAAAATTTTTTAAAAGTTAAACATCTGTGTTTTTCTTTGGGGTGGGGGAGTTGGATTAGGGACAAAGAAAGTCCAAACTGATTGAATCTTCTTTTTCTTTTTGCCATAAAATTAATGTATCACACCCCACACTCACTTCTAAATCAAAGTATAAGTACAATATATGTCAGTGCTTGTAGTGTTTAAAAGATGCATTAATAGTTTGCTTTTGTTGTTTGTTTATTGAGACAGGGTTTCTCTAGATAGCCTTGGCTGTTCTGGAACTTACTCTGTAAACCAAGCTGGCTTTGAACTCAGAGAGATCCATCTACCTCTGTCTCCCAAGTGCTGGGCTCAAAGGTGTGCACCACCACTGCCTGGATAGTTTGCTTATTTTTAATAGACCCAAGAATTTACTTGTTTGCTCTTGTCTAGGATTCGATTGGTCCACAGAATGTTCTAAACCCATAGTGTGTTTCCTTGCCCAGACATGAGAGTAAAATTCTTAGCCTGTAAAAGCTTGGTTTGTCCTCCGTGTGAACACAAGTGTCTAATAACTTGTAACACTGAGAGATGCCCATCCATGGAGAGAACACTCAGCCAGATTTCCACTGTGGAATGCCTACAGCCAGCCTTCTTCTGCCTCCCTCGTGGTAGGGATGGAGACCCTGTCCTCTTACAGCCACTGTGTGCATTCTGTGTCTGGTGAGGCACAGGAGGAAGTAGGGTATGGCTGGACACTGGAAGTGCGTAATGCTGAACACAGACCTGAAAATGAACTGAAAGGCAGAGGCTGGAATTGGTAAAAGGGAGATGGTACAGGATGCACTGGACAGGCACTGGGTGCTGATGTCGGCTTCCTGGCATGAGGAGGCCACCTTGTTCTTTGGGTCCAGGTACCACTTCTGTAGTAGAAGGAGCTTGCATTGAAGATTTGTGACTAGGGAGACAAAACAGTAGGTGTATGTGTTGAAGGTAGAGGGTTCATGTTAGTGACCCCTTAGGTCAGATGGCCGTAAGTGAGGGTTCGGGAACAACACTGAACTGGCCACTCCATGGATAGAAAGTAAGGTTTATTGGGGACCAAACTAAGACTGACTCTGGCAGGTGGAGAGGCACAGAGAGAGAAGAGTCAAATGGCACAGAAGCAAGCAGATTTTATATGACAGTCAGCAGGGTGGTGTCTTTGAGCTGATACTGGCTGTTCAATTGTTTGATAACTAGATGCCCTTGCCCCTTTGGGGTTAATTAAGGGAACTTCCTTGTAAGTACCCCCTACCCTTTTAGACTTCTGTCTACCTAATAAAAATTCTTCTATTTACTTGGCCAAAGTCCTTCTGTTTAGAACTTTTCACCAGCACTGCCATTTTGGGGGGGCCACTTCGGACCTAACAGAGGCTGTGACATATATAGAGAGAGCCTTCCCCACTTTGTTTTTCTTCTATGTGTTGAAGGGAAAACAAATATTCTTCAAATGTGAGTACTGGTCATCATACCCAATTCAGATTAATTCTGTCACCCTATAACAAATCTCCACTGACCAAAGGCTTTGTAGTCCTGGCTTGATTAAAGTCCTGGAATTTTGACTGTATTAGCTGGATACCATCAGGAGGATTCATGGGGTTCTATGTTGGATTCTTCTGATGTGAGACAAGGAGACAGACTTAGAATTTTTATTGGACTAAGAAAAGTGGTTACAAATAATTCTCATTGTCAACTTTTCTCCCCTGGCTTGAGGCAGATTTGGACGCCTTTCCTGGCAGGAGGAGGTGTGTGTATACTTGACTCTGGGCCAAGCTAAACTCACGAGCAGCCATTGGTCTTGCTACAGTGGCCAAAACTTGCATGTGTGCTCATTCCTAAGATCCCAGCTCTCTGATTCAGCTTCCTCAGACCCCATTAGGACCCAAATCACAGTCCACATAGGTTGCAGATGAGAGCCCAAAACATTTACAGTTGGCTAATTTTAAGAAACAAGGTGTGTTCCTCTTTGTGGGTGTGAGACAGTGGTATGGTTCGTGTTTCTGGGTACATAGTCATATGTAGAGATAGCCACGATGTGGCACAAACCCCAGCACTTACTCTGTTGGCTGATGGTGAGGCAGTTGCCTAACGAAATTGAACTTGACAATTAACCAAGGGTGGTGAGATTTGTAATCCTCCTGGAATCTTTTAAGTTTCAAGGGAGTTAATTAAGACTGCCATATCAAAGTATAAGTGTTACATCCAGATCATTGAACCTAAAGTGGATGCTTATGCTGAGTGGAACCAACCAAGCTTTGAATAATAAGCCGAACATGTACAGAAGCATGTACATGTTGGGTAAACTCTAATTCCCAGAGTTTAATATCAGCATCTTCACTCAAGTTCCACTTGAAAGTTTGACCTTCCTGCCTCCCATGCTTCCTTGGGGCGCCTTTATTTATGTCTGTGACCCTCTGGCTGCTATCAGTAGTAACATGACAGTATCTAGCAGATTAACAGTCGATTGTGCACAGCTCCTCCTGAGATGCCTTGGACATTTCACGTAGACTTGTGCAGTATCAATTTATTCCAAATATTTGAGCTGTACTCTCCTAGACTGCCTTGTTTTGTTTTAATGGCCACACAAGTCCATTAATTCTTCCCACTGTTTGGAATGTAAGTCAAAAGAAAAGACCAACGAGCATGTACATTTTGTTTATTAAGTTAGCCATCTGGGAAGTAGGTTCAACAGAGGGACTTTTGATAAGCAAAGAACTGGATTATTAAAGTTTACACAAGCCTGTAAACATCTGTGAGGAAAGACTACTGTATTTTTTTTAATATTTTGAAATATGTTTGAAACACACATTTTTTTTTAACTCTGGCAAAAACAGTGACTTAATGAATCCAGAAAACAATACTTTTCTCATTCCTCCCCTCTCTCCCTCTCTCAAATGGTCCTCATAACCTATGCACCGAATAGAACAGGCCCTTTATTCATGAGCATTCTGTTGTTAAAACTCAGCATGTTTTTCCCCCGACCCCCACCCCAAACAATACCTCTTCCTCTACAGGGGAAGGAAACTCAGAGGAATTACAGAGGATTACTAAACTGCAATAAATAGCTTTATTTCTTCGGATTGGAAACATCCATATTTCAGTTAGCGTTGCTTTACTAAATCATTTAGCAAGGCGTGCTGTGATAGGGCGGCGTGAGAAAGCTCCTAGTCTAATGAGTCGTTGCCCAGTGACGATCAATCTCAAGATAGGACAATCCCCTTTCCTCAGCAGTTTGGTTTGCAGAGAAGAGTAACACACATACTAGCTGTGTGGTCAGTGCATGACTGTAATCTAAGCATCCTGTAGAGAGGAAGTTTAAGGCTAGCCCCGTTTACATAGTGACTTACAAGCCAGCCTAGGCTACATAGTAAGAGCTTGTCTTAAAAACCAAGACAAAAAGCAACATTCATGAGGCAGCAGTTTAATTAAGCACAAAACTATCCTACGAAGAGTAGAGGGTCTCTTCTGAGATAAATGTGTATGGTTGTATTTTATTGGTTCCTTTATTTTTAAAAATTATTTTTACATTCGAAATGATGTAGAGAAGAAAGGAGACCTAAAGAATAATGGCATCTGTCTATACCCTACCCAGTTTTAGAAATAAAAAAATCACTGTATTTCCCCTATTTATAGTCTCCTTCCTTTCTCGAGAAAGTAACCCCCAGCCTGGTGTATCTTTAATTTTCAACGTTGTAGACGGCAGTGCACCCTGTTCTAATGGTTGGTTGAGACTTTGATGGAAGTGTTGAAGTGGACATGCCTAGCACATGTCCGACATGCCTAGCGCATGCCTAGCACATGTCCAGGGGAAGAGAGACTGGGAGTCGAGGAGCTGTTGATTTTGTTTCCTTCAGTAGATTTTCATTTGTGAAAGCCCTTTGCTAGCTAGGTGCTCTTTGAAATGAGTTATCAAGTATGCATGGGGCCCTCTCTTCGTTGAGCTTTGGTGTCGATTAGGGGATTAAAGATCTGTGCACAAATTGACTGTAATTCAGAGTGGGAGTGGTAATGAATACAAACTGTGGTGAACTGGTAGTTCAGCAGGTGGAGATGCTGAGCACGGGAAAGGCTTAACTGATGCACTGTGCTTCAGCATTTACCCGGTAGTCTATTTAGGCTCCTGTGTCAGAAACACTACTCACCTTAGTAGTGTATCCAAAACAGAAACTGATTTTTCCCCCACAATTTTGACGCCTGAAAGGTAAAAATCAAGAGGCTTACAGATTTCTTTTGCAAAGAGAGCTCCTTTCTGGCTCTCAGGTAGCCATCTTTTTACTCTGACCTCATGATGCAGAGATCGATCACAAGGTCCTTCTTTCATATGCAACATGGATCTCATCTTGGAGGGCCGTGCATTGCTAGACCCCTAATCATCTCCCAAAGACCCCATATTCTATCA